GGAAGCATACATTTACAAAGACACTTGGAGCCCTGGGCCAGGTTTGTTATTTGCCTCGTTTTCCTTAGTCGTTGATTGCTTTTATGTTTAAATGAGATTGAAACCACCAAAATCATTCTGATATGCAGGAAGTGTTTTTTCCATGTATAAATAAATCCATCGTTGACATGTGAGTCCTGAAAAGATATATACCAGTGGTTTGGGACCAAAAACCTCCTCCTTTTTAACACTGTCAGCAATTGGAACTATCCTACCGTCAGAGAATAGTCTTAAAATCCAAACTCACTGCCATCAAATCAAAAAGCCTGCAGGATTTCAAGGTGCTTGAGTAGCAGTAGTATTTTGCCTCAGAGGGCATAATATTCCTGCAGAATTCTCCTTAAATCTCTAACCTTTTAATGGTTAACCTTTTAAAGGCTCTTAGGAGCCTCAAACTTTAGGTTGGCCCTGGGGCTGAGCTCAGGCATCCTGTGTATACCAGTATTATCTTTGAAGTATTCCACTTTAAATGTTTGCTTGTGTCTATAAACCATGTAATAGAGTTGATTGATCTTAACGAGAAATATCGTGAATTCTGTGTTACTATTACGTAAAATTAAGGCTTTATGGGAAACAGAAGGATTTCTCCCAAGTTGTCTCCCCAAATATATGCTAGACTTAGCTGCTTGCGAATGACCATACACTTGGAGGTCATCAGGAGTAGCCATCTAGAGCAAGCAGACACCACTCTTTATCCCACAACTAGTAGGGCCCACTCCCTTCTGATAGTTGTCTGTTTCCTTGTAGGAGACCCCAGAGAGGTCAAACCCGCCCAAGGATGACGAGGTTAGGCTGCCATCATGAATCTAGGGTCCACCCATCTTGTCACATGTATATCCCTAGACCTTCCCATTCCTATGGGCACACCCCTAGCTCATCCCCTTCCTGTTACACTTAAGCCTATCATAGATCCCCTTCCTACAATGTGTATGCCTATTGTACTGCCCCTTCCTGTGACGTGTGTGGTTACCTGTAATCATGTCCCCCTAATGAGATATAACCCTTGGTTAGCAATAAAGTGGGGGCTCTCCTGTTCTCGTGGCTGGGCTCCCCCCACGAGGACCACCAAGCGGGGCTGAGGTGAGCATGCTACCATGAAATGTGTCTGACTCCGTTATTCCAATCTATCCTCTACCTCTCATGCTCTCAATGACTTTACTATAATCTTTACTTATTATTGCTGTACAATTGCGCCTACCAGGCCTGTAATGATCTGTTGGGGACCCCCCTTCGCCCCACAAGGTGAGTTAGTTAATTGTGCCAACCTGGCCGATAATCACATGTGGGGCTAATTGAAAGGCAGAGGGATAAATGGGTGGTGAGCCTTGCCTTTCTAGCTCTCGGGTCCCTTGTTTTGCGGTGGTCTGGTCGCACCAGGGTGCAGCTGCCTTAGCAGTTCCCTGCTTCTGCTTGCAAGATTGACTTCCTACAAGACATCCCTAAGGAGAAGCCATATGGACCTATCCCGATGCAGCCCTGGGTGCTGGAGCAGCTGTGTGGAGACCCCTGCTAGTGCTGAGATGCTTGTTCGTTCACTGACTCAGCTTTCCTCCTGCAGTCGGCATCATTGCCTCTGTTTTGTGAGGTGGAGGACTTTGTGGACTGGTGTTGGGTTAATGGGTTAATGTTGGACTTGTGGGCTTGGGCAGCATTGGGTTGGGATGTTTTCGTGATGCACACTTTCTTTACATAAAACTCTCTTATACATGAGTTGCTGTGGATTTGTTTCTCTAAAGTACCCAGACTAATACACAAGGCTTCTGACAGTTTCACTTTCTTTATCATGTATTCTTTGGTACCCACTGACACACTGGTACTTAGCTATGAGTAGTCCAAATGAAGTCTTATTCGGATCTAGGAATACACAAAACCAGCGAAGCCAAAATCTAGCTGTCAGAATCACACAAGAGTGTTTTGTTTTGTTTTAATTATCTGTTTCCAGGTTCCACCTAAGATCTATTAAGATAGAGTCTAATGATAGTGAGACTTAAGAATCTATGTGTTCCCCAGACATAGCTGGTTTTTAAAAAGGACATAACTAGATGATAGGTTTCAGGATGCACCTTGAGAGATGAAACCATAGAGAAATACAAGATGGTATAAAAGTCAGGGGAAATACTACTTTTGAAGGGAGGAGAAGGGCTGTCTTTACAAGAGAGCACTTTTAGAGTAGATGGCAAAGTTCTGTTTCTTGATTTTGTGGTCGTAACAAGGGTTTGTTTTTTTTCTTAAGCAGTTTATTGGCATTTAATTCACCTATCATACAATTCAATAGTTCAATCAAGACCAGAAGAGCTGTACAATCATTGTCACAATCAATTTTAGAACATTTTCTCACCCCCAACCCCCATCGTTAAATCACTTTTAAACTGAGTTGTGTAACCATCATTAGTTCAAGAGAGTACTCGCTCCCTCCCCCCTCCTACATGCATTGTTTGCTCCCTCAACCCCCTCACCCTCCCTGTCTTCCAACCCCCACCCCTACCTCAACTATAAATCCTTGCGCCAGTTCTTATCTCTGTGCCTCTACTCCTTCTGGGCTTCACAAACTGGAAAACCCAATAAGAAGTTTTCCTTATAATAATTCACTGAACTGTTTTTGAAACTTGGCCTACCTAATCACTCTTATTAACTTTGGGGAAGTCCAAGACTTCTTCAAGTTTATATGTGTCTCTGTCTCAGGTGAAATAAATACAACCCTTTTAGTCTTTCCTGAGAAGAGGTTCAGGAGCCCTGGTTGGTGGCACTGTTGGATAAGCATTGGACTGCTAACTACAAGGTCAGTGTTCAAACCCACCGGCTGCTCTGTGGGAACAAGAAGAGGCTACCTGCTCCCGTAAGATTTATAGCCTTGGGAATCCTATATTGGTTTACTATGGTTGAATATCAATTTGATGGCAATTAGTTTGGGACTTTTCTTCATCCTTTCCTGTAGAACCATAGGCAAAAGGATAGGGAGGTGGGGGTGAGGAGAGCTATTTGCTTGCTTTTTTTTTTTCCTTTCGTGCCTTATACACATATAATTGTATACTGGGGATGCCAAAAGGGTAATTGATAAAATTTTCTCTGAGGGCACAGGATAATTGTAGGAAGAAGGTTTTTAAGATTGAAAACTGCATTGATGAGAAAAAGGTTAAGAAATTTGCAGCAAGGAATATTTTCTTTCCATTACAGCAATGGACTTGCTCATTCGTTGAGGGTAGCAATGGCTGTCCTAGGAGAATTTCATTGGGAAGCTTTACCCAGTACACCCCACAGCCCTGACCTTGTCCTTTCAGTCTTGTTTGTTTTTTGTTTTAACTTGTTGTGGATTGGGGAAAGGTTTACAGTGCGAGGTTCATTGCCTTGCTCATGCTTTAAAATTTTGTATCCTCTTTATTTTTAGTACAGAGAAAGGCAGTTTTCAGTAGAGCATCTGAGCGAATATTTTTTGTGTGAATATTTTTCTTTCTATTTAGTATTTTACAAACACACTTTTAAAACAGAGATTATTACATTTCTTTTTTTTTAATTGATTGATTTATTTATTTTTGTTATTACTTTTCTTTACGAACCTACATATCCACTCCAACTTCTACAACACACTCTCCTCCTCTTTGGGGAGGACAATTCAACAATAGCCGGTGAAATGAAAGATGTTCATATGACCCAAAAATGTCAAATGTGATGAATGCATAAAATTATAAACTAGGACTACATTTATTCATGTGGATAAAAATCAGAATGTAAAGTGAAAAGCAAGGTTAGATAAGATAATCTTTTTTATCTCCCATTTCTCAAAGAATAGGTTTGTCCTGTGTATGAAAGAACTATGTTCGATGACTTTTACAGATATTAATTCTCACAACAGCCTTGTGAAGTATATGGTGGTGGCCCTATTTTACATTTATTCATTAAAATATATACATAATTTTTATGATAATACAAACATATTTTGCAATATATATATATATATACATATTATGTACATGAGTCTGTTCTAAGCACAGTAGATATAGCTGTGAATCAAACAATTCCTACATTCATGTAGTGTTCATTCCAGTCGGGGAGAGAGATTTTAAAAAAGACTCTACAACAATTGTATCCCAGGTGGGAATATTTCCTGTGAAGAAAACAAGGCAGGGTAGAGAGAGTAATGAGAGAAATAAACTGAAACTCAGAAGTTGAAGGTGAAGAAACTGAAGCTCATATAAGAAACCTGCCGAGGATCACGCTATACAATTTAAATTGGGAATTAAACAGTGGAGCCCTTCTGACGTAGTGCCTTACGTATCAGACTACTAATCAGAAGGTGAGCAGTTTGAATATGGGAGAAAGAGGAAGCTTTCTACTCCGTAAAGATTTACAGCCTCAAGAACTGTTCTACCCTGTCCTAGAGTCTCTGTGAGTAGAGATCAACTCAATGGCAAGTTTGTTTGAGGGTTTAAACTTAAATCAGTCTTATTCTAGAGCAGGGGTTCTCAACCTCCCTAATGCCTCCATCCTTTAATACAGGTCCTCATATTTTGGTCAAACCGCCCCCCAACCATAAAATTATTTTCGTTGCCACTTCATAACTGTAATTTTGCTACTATTATGAATCATTAATCGAGCAACCCTGTGAAAAGATTGTTCCACCCCCAAAGGGGTCGCGACCCACAGGTTAAGAACCGCTGAAGAGGCTTCTCTTGAGAAAGGACGGTTAACTCTAGCAGTCACTCCTCCTTAGGAAAACACGTTAATTACGCAATCACATCTCAGCGCAGCAACACTAGGAGAAAACGAGCTGCTAATGGAACAAGATGGAGAGCAGTCTAGAAAGGTTGAATACTTTGGACAGCCAACAAACTTCCCAAAGTACCAGTTCTGTGTAGAGTCAAAAAATTCCACTGGAAAAGTGAGGAAAAAACTTTAAAAAATGTTAACTTTGTTTTTTTAATACTGATGTACATCTTTGTTCCTTTTACTTTCAGTGGTTACCAATGACTCAGGAGCCAAGCTTCCAAACAATTGTTGAGCAGTGTGATTTCCTAGAACTGAAGTATGACTTCAATGACAGAGGTGTATTGAGACACACGGAGACACAAAGGCCTTTTGTCTTTAATTATTATGAAGATGTCTTTGAAAAAAATATCAAGCGCTACCAGGCCCTTGGCCATTTGCTTGAACAATTCATTTATGAACTTTTGGAGAAAGTTTGCAAATTACAAAAAGTACATATCCCACTTGACACTGATGAAGAATCAAGAAGGTTCTTTTTCATGAATGAGAGTGCACTAACCAATCATCATCCTGCTCTTCTTGCCCTCCTTCAAGACCATGGGGTTTTTCAAGCTGGACAGTGGAGTCAGCAGGCAGTATTACACCATGGCCTTCACCAGGGAAGTCAGATACCGTGCATTCAAATGGCATTACAGGCGCATTATGGTGTGATTGTGGCAAACCCCAATGACAGCTTTGCGGGCCTAAAAATGGAAAAAGAGTGGGAAAGCCTTTGGGCACAAAATATTGAACCCTCTTCCCTAAAAACAATTGAACCTGACAGCTTTGTATCTCTCCAGCAGCCTCCCCAGTGTGTTCCAGAGAGACACAGCATCACCCCAGAAGAGCATGTGGCTTACATTTGGGATCACTTCATTTCAAAGACGGAAGGCCAGAATGTTGTCTTCATTGCTCATGGTTATGGAGGGTTGGTTTTCATGGACTTACTTGCTCGTAGAAAGTGGGAAGTGATGAATAAAGTGTGTGCTGTTGCACTTATTGACTCTGAACATCATGTAGGCCATCAGCTGGGAAATGACGGTCAGTTATTAGCCTGGATAAAGCACCACTGCCGTGAATGGGTGACAAGTCCTAAGCCTTTGGATAAACCCGCAACTACTGTTTTGAGAAAAGATTTTCCTATGGTTTCGGCTGGCACAGAAGAACGCAACTTGGCCCCTTCTTCTAGCCTCCAGTCTGTTTTTAAATACTTCAAAAAGGCTTTGAAAGCCAAAGCAACTATTAATTTCTCTCGGATGCCAATAGCAACTAGAAGCTCCACAAAAAGAAAGTAAAGCACATAAGTTGGTTTTTGTTATCTAAGATTTTTTTTGGGGGGGTGTCCTTATGTAAGTCTAGAAGGACTTGCAGCTCACGCACAGTACTGTGTTCTGGCTTGAGATTTGACTGGTTCCTTTGCAGACAGACCCTCTATCCCCCGTTGTAGCCTAGTGACATACGACCGAATCATTGCCATCACGGCACTGAGGAGGAGGAGGCCAGTTGGAGGTGCTTTGTAATGAAAAGCTAATTTCCTAAAGTTTATAAGTATCGCACCACATTATAGTTTGGGGAAATGAAACTTTAATTCTGACTTTGATTTCTATAGTATTATGAATGCCTTATTAATATTATAAGTGAATATAAAGAAAAATAAATATCATAAGGAAAGCCCCATTTGTATATGTATGTTTTTTTTAATTTTTTGGTTGTGTGTGTGTGTGTGTGTGTGTGTTTACTCATACTTCCAACTACTATTTGAGTACCAGTAACTGCCGCTTGCCGGTCCATATTGGCTGCTGGGGCACAATGGCAAACAAGGCCAACGTTGCCTTTATTCTTCTCAGACTCACACTGAGCAAACAATTACAAGTTAAAGAATGTTAAAAGTGAAGGGTCCCCTGGAACCTCTCGCGTATCCTTAGTGGGAAGAACAATGTTTAGTTAGCAATGAGAACAGTATCCTAGGAAAAGGATTACCTGAAGCAGAGATCCTGAGGCAAGAGACAGAAAGTAATTTCAGCTTGAGCTAAAAGATTAAGAAGTAGTAGTTGGAAGATTAAGCATGAAAAGCTAAGAAAGAAAAGAAAAAGAAATGGCAGCTCATATAAGACTGTATTATCCATGGCTAAGGTTTTGGACCTTATTGATAGTGTGAGCCACTGGATAATTTTTTTTAAGAGAGGAGGATATAATCAGATTTACATTTTAGAAAGAACATCCTGGTAAATGGAATACAAGCTTGGAAGCAAGGAGACCAATTTAAAAACTCTAGCCAGAGAAATACTTAATGAACTCTTAACTACATTTTGTGGTTAATTGGCTATAAGAACAAGCAGAAGAAAATAACGAATGTGATTCCTATATTTCTATCCATCCAAGCTAGATGACTATATCACGGGGGGAAAAGCTACATAACTATGCAAAGGCTCCTCCAGAAACTTAACAGGAAAAGGATGACAAGTCATCTTTAATTCTGCCCAGAGATAGAGAGGAACCCCTAATAGATATTACACTTGAAAACACTGCCACATTTAATAGCAGTGGCTAACTTTAGTGTTTACTTTTTTAAGCCTAGTATATGCTATGATTTCTTATCAGCAAAGACATAGTTCTCAAATTTCTCTTTATGTTCCATGTCTTGAGTGGCATAATGAAAAATAAAGCACCGAACTGTAAATCAGAGTTTATGTTTTAAATGAATCTTGGCCTTGGGTATCCTAGTTAATCTCTCCAAACCCTCATTTCCCTTTTTGTAAGTGAACGAGAGGGGCTTTGAAGTCCCTTCCAACACAGATACTCTAGACTACATTTAATTCACCTAATGTGGACAATATGAAAAAAGTAAAAATGTCACTATAAAAAATGTAATTGTAAAAATGTTGTAACATTGGGCCTCATCTATCGGGGGAGGAGAAAAAGATCAAGATCAGTATCAACAGCCCAAGGCTAATTCCTATGAGTTGAAGGTCAGACATGCGTGCCCTCTCCACGCTTTTGACTAATTCTGACACCTGCTGTCGCTCCCTGGCACTCGGCTTTGCTGCTGGATTCAGTGATTGGTTGCCATGGCCACACACAACTCACAGATAGTTCTCAGGTTTATGGGGTTCATTAGGGAAGTAACAGGATCAGGATCAGCGTGGAAGTAATAGGAACAATGCAGGATACTGTTCATTGATCAGGACAAATTCTATTCAGCTGCTGCCATTGGGCACTGGTTCTCAGCCCCGCTCAGACAAGTGTTACAACTCTAACTTCCCTGGCAGGTGACTGATGGAACCCCACACCACCAGGAAACCTCCTACTCAAGATATTCAATTACCTTGCTAGGTGGGTTGGCACTCTCACAGTAGCTGCCTCACTGTTTGGGCTGGGAAGCCCACTACAGCTTCTCATGCCATTCTCCTGGTTGCGATGCTGCCAGTTCCCTGCCACTGGACACTGCTATGTGTGCTACTGCTTCTTGCCATCTCACACCACCACCTGGGTTGAGAGTTCTAAGCACACGACCCTCATGTACAAAAAAAGACACTCCACTCCTGGCTTCTCTTCTTGTGATAGTGAGGCTCCCCACTACAACCTGTGGGATTCATTGAATAATCCCCTTCCTGGGTTCCATGCATCTTATTTGCATTAGCAGGTGGGCCACCCCCTCATTTACATAATCCCACCCAATCATTTGTGGGAATTACAAAACCATAGCTAGACAAGCTATGCAATAGTAATTAATTGCAACACAGGTACTTGCACTTAATTAACTGAACTTACTCTTTAATTGGCCAATTCTCATAACCCCTTGACTAACCAGCTAAACGTATTTGTCATTTATTGTTACACAACCAATTATTTCAAAACTTGGTGATTTTAAACAACAAGCATTTATGATCTCACTCTTTGTTGGTCAGGAATTCGGAGCAATAATTCTGGCACAGACTCTTTCATGAGGGTGGGTGCAAGACTAACCTGAAACTGGGAACTGACAGTGTGACTGTTCCCAGAAAGCCTGGCGTTCCTGCTGGCTGTGGCAAGAGAACTCAGTTCTTCGTCACATGGACCCCTTCTATAGGCTGCTGGA